GCACGATTTGTCCGCAGGCGGTCAAAGAGGAATTGCTGGGAAAAGTATACATCTTCTGTGAACAGTCAGGCAACACCAAAGGAGGTTTGGGATCGAGTTCATAAAATTAATGGCTCGTATCATGCTTTTTCCGTTCCTCTTTTGACAAAAAATGGAATATGCCCTGAAAGCCTCGAGGAACAAGCAGATATTCTTGGAGAACATTTCGAATTTATTTCTAGCTCAAGAAACTACACACCTACATTTCTTAAACACAAAGCACAGATGAAAAAGAAGGCTGTTAACATTTCGAGTGGTTTTCAAGATCCCTACAATGCTCCATTCACAATGCGTGAACTTGAAATGGTTCTCCACTGTCCTAAACAGACTGCACCCGGTCCAGATGGAGTTCATTACATTATGCTCCAACATCTTCATTCTTCAACTCTTGAGCTTATCCTATATCTTTTCAATAAAATCTGGTCTGAAAGCCATTTTCCGTTCGCTTGGAGGGTTGCCTTCGTGGTTCCTTTGCTGAAGCCAGGAAAGAATCCTTCATGCACATCTAGCTACAGGCCTATAGCTTTGACAAGTTGTTTATCAAAGACTCTTGAAAGAATGATCAACAGAAGGCTCGTGCATTTTCTTGAAAATAACAACGTTCTAGACAGATACCAGTGCGGCTTTCGATCTTCCCGATCCACAGTAGATCACTTGGTTCGTTTCGAGACAGCCGTGAGAGAGGCGTTTGTGAACAAACAACACTGCCTTTCCGTGTTTTTTGATCTGGAGAAGGCGTATGATACTGCCTGGAGATTTGGAATACTGCAGGACCTAATCGACATTGGTATCCGTGGGCACATGCTCGGTGCAATTAAAAGTTATCTGGAAAGTCGTTCATTTCGTGTAAAGCTGGGTACCACCTTCTCTCGAGATTTTTTGCAAGAGAATGGAGTTCCCCAGGGGGGTGTACTTAGCGTCACTCTATTTATTATAAAAATGAACTCCATTGCCCATGTAATACCTCGTTCAGTTCAGTATTCTATCTACGTTGACGACCTTCAGGTTTCATTGTCATCATGCAATCTTTCCATCTGTGAGAGGAGGGTTCAAGTGGCAACCAATAATTTAACAAGCTGGGCTAATACAAATGGTTTTAGGTTTTCTACAGAAAAAACTGTCTGTGTATGCTTTTCTCGCCGGCGAGGATTTTTTCGAGAACCCTCCTTAACCATCTATGGACTTCCTATCAAGGTGAAAAGTGAACACAAGTTTCTAGGTCTCCTCTTAGATTCAAAGTTAACGTTTGTTCCGCACATTAAGCAATTAAAGTCAAAATGCATCAAATCACTCAGCATTCTCAAAGTGTTGTCCCATCAATCTTGGGGTTCTGATCGACTCTGTCTCCTGCGCATTTATCGTGCAGTAATTCGCTCCCGACTCGATTATGGCAGTTTTGTGTATGGTTCAGCCAAAGCTTCAGCATTGAAAATGTTGGACCCCATTCATAATCAGGGGCTACGGCTAGCCACCGGTGCTTTCCGCACTTCTCCGATCGCCAGCCTCTATGCAGAGGCCAATGAATATTCTCTAGAGAAAAGAGGTTTCGCTTTGGGGTTTATGTATTCACTCCGAGTAAGATCAGTCCCTCTCCATCCAGCTCTTGAATCGGTTGAAAAAATCAAGTTTGAGAGGACTTTTCAAAATAAGCCAAGTATCGTCCCTCCCTTTGCTCTGAGGCACGCTAAGGCAGCAGAGTACTTTGACCTTGACCCAAAGCCCCCTGTGACAAAGTACAGAAGCTCTGCAGCTCCTTGGGAGTATTCGTTCATTAACTGTAATTTCACCTTGACAAATCACAGAAAGAAAGATACTCCCGATGAAGTGCTGAGGCAAGAATTTTCTGAAATACAAAGCCAGTACCAACATCACTTCAGCATTTACACAGATGGCACTAAAACAGATTTTTTTGTTGGCTGCGCAATGGTTGGACCATCTGTTTGCCATGTAAAGAAACTTAACCCTTCTGCTACAATTTTAACAGCAGAGTTGCAGGGTTTATTACTTGCTGTGGAGTATACACTTAAGAAAAGGCTTCGTCGCTCTGTTGTCTACACGGACTCTCTAAGTGCATTAAAAGCCCTTGTTTCACTAAATTTAGTCAAAAATCCTTTGGTTGCTCAGCTGCAAGATAAGATAATATCAGCCACCAAAACTGGGTACGAAATTATTTTTTGCTGGGTGCCAAGTCACGTTGGCATCCCGGGTAACGAGGAGGCAGATCAGGCCGCTCGCTCTGCCGTCACACACTTTGTGGATACAAGAGAAATCCCTCCAAAAGATTACTTTAAGAAGGTGAAACGTTCCATAATGTAGAAATGGCAGCATGAATGGGACCGCGAAGTAAACAACAAGTTACATGCGGTGAAGCACATACTGAAGGAATGGGAGAGTGCCCGACATCGCGAACGTTTCTACGAGGTGGTTCTCTGCCGTCTAAGGTTTGGCCATACACGACTAACGCACGGGCATCTTCTGCGTGGCGAAGATTCCCCGAAGTGTGAGCATTGACATAGCCATCTAACCATACATCATATTTTACTTGAATGTAATGCGTATGACCCAGAACGCCTTGACCATTTTTCGCAGCTATACAAGGAGCATACCCCATTACATCTTATGATTTTACTTGGCGACGAACCTCTTATTCCACACTCTTGTGTTTTTAATTTCCTTAAAGCAATCGGCCTTCTACACCGACTGTGATTTTATTTTAAGTCCCTAAAGTCAGTTTCATACCTTTTACACTTATACACACCTCATGTTCATAGTTTTATCCCATCATCTGCTACTAGAGCTCTTTCTTCTCCCTAACCCTTTTCGGCAATAGTTTATGTACCTGGCGCATTATAGCCTTAGATGCTTTTGCGCCACAAAAACCCAATCCAATCCAATCCAATCAGAGCTGGACCAGTTAACCACGTGGTGTTCTTCGTGGCTAATGACCCTCAACCACAAAACAAAACTTATGTCGTTCACCAAATGCTCCTCTCAGACTCCAACTTTTTACCTTCTGAATAACAATACTGTTGAACTCACTTCTACCTACAAGTACCTGGGTGCTTACTTTCAGTCTGATTTGTCCTGGCACTACCACATTGATGTCACCCTTGCTTCTGCTAACCGCTCCCTTGGATTCATAAAGCACAATTTTAAACAAGCACCCGCTCACTTAGGTAAACTTGCTTATATCACTCTAATCCGCCGCGAAATTGAATATGCTTCTGCCATACGGAATCCTGATCAAGCCTACATTATAAGTAACATCGAGTCGCTGCAAAACCGTGCTGCGCGTTTCATTTTATCTGACTACTCTTCATTTTCCAGTGTCACCGCATTAAAAATCAAGCTGATTTGCTTGACCTATCACGCCGCCGTAAACATGCCCGTCTGTCATTATTTCACAAGCTCTACCACCATGCATCGCTTCACGACGATTTTTTTAAAACACCACCCAGTATTTTTCCACGTCGCGATCATTCATTCAAAGTAGCGCGCACCACATGCCACTCATCTAGTTACGCATGATCATTCATACCACGGACTATAATCGGCTGGAACAACCTACCGGCTCGCATTGCAACTGAACTAGATATGTCCAACTTTCAAGAGTTCGTGCGTAGTTATACTAATACTTAAAGGGGCTGTGCAACGATATTTAGTTGGAATGTTTTTCACTTTACAGAAGCTTACTGGCACTAGTGGAGCTCAAGGATACTCGCACGCAACTCCGCTGGCCAACAAACTCCTTTGTTGCGGTGTAATTTCAAGGACAAAAGCGATCATTTTCATTCAATCTCTCTTTTGCAAAATTTGGTGACGTAACGTGGGGATCGCAGAAGACCCAAGTGACGATATTTGAATGCTGTTCATAGATTGAACCCGAGCATTGCGTGGGCACTCGGTTTGGGCTCGTGATAATTACTAGCTCGAGAAGCATTCGGGTAGTGGCCCGTGTCCAATCGCTGCAACGACGACAATAGCCGATCCATAACAATATCTGGAACTCAGCGCGTGCCCTGTGCTTTGTCAACCCCAGCGCGTGGCTATGATCTACATTGGCGGCATATAGTCGGCTCCAGATCACATGGCCGCTTGTTCTGGCTGCGAATTGAGGGGGTGAACGCTGCTCGTTTTTCTTTAATATTTTTCTGGGACTTCTATTGCGTGGGGTGAAAAACGAACGCGTGTTTCATAGGTCATTAATGTCAGGGATCCGTTCTAAGCGGTATCTGCGCAAAGTACAAAAATTGTTGCATCGCCCCTTTAATGTTCTTTTTTATTCCTTGTCCTCATATTGTCTTTTGCATAATTTGTGTTTTATCTGTGTACTATATATTTGCTCGCCCCCCCCCCCCCCCCCTGTGCAATGCCCTCATACAGAGGGCCTTTAGGAATATTTTGAATAAATAAATAAATAACACTACTTCAGATGACAGGACGTCAGTGATGCCACAATGTGCAAACATGATCCCAATGTTTGTTCTTTGTCCCCTTTGTTCCACTTCTCCAGAGATTATTATTGACATTCTTGTCCAGCTCGCTTGCACCTTTCCTTTAATTGCATTATCAACATCCCAAATGTTATCGTATTAGAGCATGCAGACAGGAGGCACACTTGTTAACCGTTTTAACGGCTAAAACAAGCTCCGCTTAATCGTTGCCCTTAAATTGCTTGTTGACATCCGGCGTAAGTGCGTTTTTCGGTGCGTTGTATGACTTTGTTCCATATTTGCCCACCTGGTATGTTTGCGTGGGCTCATGTATTGCAACCTAAATTCAAACCATGCTTGGCGAAACAGGCGTGACCTACTCCCATTTGTCCACCTTTGCTTCACAAGCGAATTCGGTGCGCTTTTATGCGTAGAGTTCGTCTAAATTGCGCATGCGTATGATATGTGCTTTCTGGATTACTCTACAAGCGCGACGAGATAGAAAGGCGACAGCATAAGAAGTAGGAGATGGCCATGCATACGCCCATTCCCACGAGAACGGCAGCGAAAAGCGAGAAGGTTTGTACGACGACCAAGCCAGACATCTACATGACTGTGAACAGCAGGCAGCGGCAGCGAAATCTTCTCGTTCTGGACTTGCTACAAGGCTCCTTCACGGATGATACAAAGGAGCGACAGTTCCTTGATCTGGGCTGCGGCACAGGAGACTTCACCCGCGACCATTTTCTTCCACGTTGCCCGAAAGTTGAAAGGCTCGTCGCTGTCGACGTGTCCGAGGAGATGGTGGAGTATGCCCGGAAGCACTTCGCCCACCCCATGATCTGCTACGATGTCCTCGACATTGCGGCAAAAGACGTGACCGAGTTTGTGAAGCGATACGGTCAGTTCGATCGTGTATATTCCTTCTATTGCTTCAACTGGACGAGGGACCAAGAAGCGGGGTTTAGGAACATCGCCGAGTTGCTCAAACCTGGTGGAGGATGTCTGCTTGTCTTTGGTGCTTCCGGAAGCATTATGCGTCTCAATCAGAAACTGGCAGCAATGGATCGTTGGCAAAAATATCGAAAGGTAAGTATGAAATATTCGGCTTCACGAGGACAGCTATAGGTTTCTTTCTGATTTGATATATTCCGACACAGCCGGTGTCACATGAAAGGAAACTGTTGCATTCCTTGCCAACGACTGTGCCGCCAAAGCCACGTTGTTTGAAAAACATTGCAAACACCGCAGCCAGCCGGCGTTAAAGAACCCCTCACATTCTCAAAAATAACTTGCTCTTCTTTCGTTGGTGCAAAACAAAATAGCGTTTGGTAGACCCTACTCTCATTTCGTTTTATCGCTACAAAGTTAGGCATTTGCTGAGAGGAAAATATCGAGCCAACTGAAGCCAGGGGTTTTATGCGGAGGACAATAGTGTGAAGCTATGAGACTCAGGGTTCACTAGACTAACTTACGTTGTTTTAACCCCGCGCAACTCGTACAATGTGTTTTTAAAATTAAAATGTTACCTTCGTTGAATTATAAAACTATGAGCCATGGACGGCTCAGAGCTTTTAAAGCATGAAATGATTTTTAACGCTACCCCCCTGACCTCACATTTAGTCCGTCCTACCGTCCGCGCGTACGTTCGTCCCTGCATCTTCCGAATTCAATTTGCCCGATTTCTTTAGGAGGAAATTTAATGTCACGTTACGTGACGTCACGGGACTTACAGACCAATTCAGCTTCCCTCCTAAATTTGGCGGGAAAATTGTTGTAACGTGACCCCAAGACCAGCGTGGACTGGAACCACCTTTCTGCCTCCGTCGTCTCCATCAGTGACCACATTACCTTCAAGTCTGCCGTGTTTCATCACTCGACATCATAACTATTCTTTGCTCAACATGTTTTTGTTTTCCACCACTCCTTTCTGTAACACCTACGGCCCTGAGAGTAAATAAATAAATAAATATATAAATCAATACACCCATTCAGTTTCCCCGCTAAATTTGTCGGGAAAATTGATGTACCGTAACCTATATTCTAATTAAATTCTTCCTCTAAATGTGGCGGGGAAATTGATGTCACGTAACTTGACGTCACGAGAATTATACACAGTATACTTTTCCCGATAAATTTAGTGGAAAATTGGAAAATTCAGTTCTATAATGCATTTTATGAATTGCACGACCTTGTAGGTAAAGATCGCTACAAGATGTTTAAATATTCGCAGATCTGTGTTTAATTGCACGTACCTCATGTAAAGATAATGAAGAAGCCATATACAGCCGTTTCTTTGCCAGTGATTTTGTTTTTGCCGATAGTAGCGGGAGTTTGAGTAGGAAATAATTTATCTTATTGCTTAACCCTTATGCCCCGTGTTTCAGTAAGAACGCAAGGCACACATATTGGACATGTAAATAATTCAAAACACCACGTTCTTTTTTAAAAAAAATTAAGACATATTTAGAAATGCAATGCAACCTTTATTTTTTACTTATGGCAGTCAAAGTTGACATGTCTAATTTTGGTGCTTACCTAAAAAAGAAAAAAAAAAAACTGAATATTTTAAGCATTATTAGTCTCGCCGTGGCCGTCAACGCTAGAGCTGCCCAGAGACTACCCTAACAAAGAAATGGAAAGGCCGGTAGAACGCTACGAAGATGAACAAGCCGTTACCGCTTTCCCTCGTATTTCCCAAGCATGATTGGTCAGAGAACCAGTTTCATTTTGTTTCATTTAATTTCATTTCATTTGATTCATTTGTCTAAGGAGGGTCGGAAAAAACGCAGAGGCTGAAACCTGTACCCAAAGGCCTGCGAACACCTAAACTAAGATAAAAAGAAAGAACCAGAGAGAGAGAGAAAGAGAAAGAGAGAGAGAGAGAGAGAGAGCGGTACGGCCCGTAAGGGCCCTCAAAGAGTATAATATGCGATGATGCTCATGGTAAGATAAATAAACTAAAATAAAAAAAAAAAATCCGCAGGATTTACAATGATAGCTACGCCCGACAAAGGTGATGATATGCGCCCTTGCAGAAAGACTTCGTCATGGGTCTCCAGCGGCTGCAGAGCTTCAGGCAGGTTAAGGCACAAACTGCCCCATATGTTTTGTTATCTGGTAATCAATGAGAATTTATTGAATTTTAGTGACAGCGATGAGGGTGCTGGAATCTACTCGTGTGTCATTGAGTGTGAATGTTTTTACTGGGTTGGTCGTCGAATAGAAGGTTGAATAGTCGAATAGAAGGTTGCGCCTTGACGATTAAACTTCATTTATAAGTTCAACGACTGTGTCCTCTTTATTCTCTTGTCTTTGTGCTCTGTATGTTGAAAGTTGAAACCCAGAAAGAAATTAGGTTTTTTATCTAACATTTATTTTGTACTTTGTTCACGGCCTCCTCTGAGAGGAACCGCACACTTTTCTGATAGTACTTATGATTTAATAAACAAAATGTTATCGAAATTTATTTGAGTTCATCGGTTGTTTTAGACACCGGAGCAAATTTCATGCCGCTTGTTCTACCACAAAGCACGCCAAGAAATATTTTGTCAGAACGTATCGGCAGACTTATGAGCTGTCTCTAGAGCTCCCATGCGTTGGCTGAAAGGGACCGGTTATCCAGGCAAGATATACCATTTATTTCAGCGAGGATACAGGTTAACCAATGAATAGTACCGCTGTCGGTGGGCGTCGCAGACGAAGATGTTACAAATTATGTTGGATGCGTTTTGTTTGTGGCACAATATTTATTGTTTTACCGGCATTTATTGGTGCAAATTACTCCAAAGTGTTCGTTTATGCTGCTTTCGTTCTACAAATCCAGTTTGCTCTTTTGATATAAATAAGAAGCAATGCAGTTTGCATACACAGCTCTTCGCACTTTTACGCAGATGTTCGACAAAACCATTCCTTCAAGCGTAGATCTGGTGGACCAAGATGCCCTTCTGTCGTACCTTTCCGGTCTTTTGAAGAACGCCAGCCTGATCCCAACCACGTGCGAGGTGCTGCAAGTGAAGCACACATGCTCCAGTCTTGAGGAAGCGACATGTAAGAACGAAATAACTTCTCTCCTCTAACTGCACGCTTTTGAAGTTTCCGGGGCTCAATACTTCATGCCGGTATCGCCAAAACCTGTGCTCAGTGTTCCAAAATACAATAAATACAAAAGTGGTTTTGGTGCATGTGTCGTAATGGTCTTATTCTTGTTTGTTGATGCTTGAACTATCGCGTTTTTTTTTTAATTTTCAGGGATGTTGATGGGTATGAACTGTATCTCGACCCTTGTGACGGAAGAGGAGAAGCCTTTTCTCCTCGAAGACGTGGCTGAAATTACGGCTAAATGGTGGGCTGAGCGGGATACCGGTGGCTCACTTTTTAACGCATTTGAGTTTTTGGTGCGCGCCCATAAACCTAGACTCTAAGCGGCGTGTCCAACACTGTCATTCGAGGGTGCTACCTCGCACATTACTGAAATAAAAACATTAAGGTGTTGCGTTAGGTGCACTGATTAATGCGGTGCAGCTGTGCTGAGAACACCAAGGGAGAAGCAGAGTTGGTAAATAAAAAGTTAGGCTGTCTAGGATGCCTCAATGTCCTTCTGTTTAGGGTTATGCCACCACCTTTTGTAGTTCCCGATGCCGACACCACGCGATCACGCGATCACGGGTAAAATACAAAGAAATACACGAAAACAAAATGTAGCCATAGCACAGTCAGCACCACAAACGCGTGCAAGGACACGCTCTTTCATGCGCTTCTGAACAACAACAAAAAAAATAAAAGTGTGGGACAAAATGGCGAGATGTCTCCACCCTAAGCAAAGCGCACGTGAAGGCACCCTAAGGCTCTCCGGTTAATTTACGTAATGTCTTCGTTGAGCATCCTCTTAATTGTTCGGTTACAATACTTGGATTGCAAGTGACGTCTTTGCACCGTGCTGGTGGTCATTCCTACTTGCTCTTATCAAGAAAAACAGATTCGGTGGTGCGACATGCTTGTTGTGGAAAAAGCATGCTCAGAAGCGAGGCACAGTGGCCGATGCTGGGACGTCAATGCAAGCAATGTGTGCCAGAGCAGGCATGTGATCAGCTGCTATGATGTAAGGGGGATCGGTGGCCGAGTAGGAGCGGGGTCGGTGGCCGAATGGGCTAGCACACGCCAGCTGGGAGCACGTGGAGCGCTGCAGAACACAGGGATCCTGGGCTCGATCCCCACCCCTGCCCGGTTCGATCTGGATGAGCATCGTACCAGTACAGTGTACACTGTAATACCAGTGTGCGGTTGTGTATCACTACTGTGTGGTGCATGTTAAAGACCCCTGGCTAGCGGTTGTACTGCACTGTCGCGGAGTAGAGTCAGACGCAGACGCATCGGGTTACAGTCGGCAAGTGAAGTGCTTTATTCAAGCCGCCGATTATATAGACTCGCAACGGAGGAGTGACAGAGTGAGGGGGCGCCACTTGCGACCTCTACATCTCCCCTTCAGGGAAAAAGACACAAACTTGTTGTCTTTATAAATTAAGTCTCCCGGGCGTCTTGATGCGTCGCCCGAAGCGAGAAACTCTGCCCGGTTGCTGAGGGCACACTGGTGACTGCGGCGAGGGTACCGACGCTGTGCCCAGCACTGGGGATTCCGCCAGAGACTGCGGAGACCCAGTGGAGCGTTGTAGGGGTTGCGGAGGCGGCGAAGTAGTATGAGGCACTGGAGGTAGAGTCGATGCAGCTGGAGTGTCGGACACCGGCGAACTAGCAGACTCCACTGCAGGCTGAGATGGTGTAAATGGAACCAGATGACGACGGTTCCGCTCAAGTATGCCTGTGGGCGTCTGCACAACGTACGAGCGAGGTCGTCTTGCTGGGCCCAGGACACGCGCAGCTCCAGCTACATCTGCGAGCCAAACATCTTCGCCCGGAGACAGCGGACGGAGTGGACGAGCGGCGTGGCGCCTGTTACAGTCCTGCGCCAGTCGGCGTCGAGCAGACGAGTCTCGCTGGTGGAAGAGCGCCCTTGGAGGCGTTCGAGGGATCAGGGCCTCCTCAAGCTTCGGTACCGTGGTCTGCAGTCTTCTCCCCATCAAAAGTTGCGCTGGGCTCCATCCGCTTACTCCCGGGGTGTCGCGATAGACGAGCAGGGCCAGGTAGGGATCTTTCGTCTTGGCCAGCAGGTCCTTCACTGTCCGCACCATGCGTTTAGCCTCTCCGTTGGCCTGCGGGTACCGGGGGCTGCTGGTTACGTGATGGAAGCCGTAACAAGCAGCGAAGGAGGCGAAGTCCCTTGAGGAGAACTGCGGCCCATTGTCGGTGACGACCACAGTGGGAATGCCAAAGCGTGCAAAAATGCTCTTCATTGCTGCAATAACAGCCGAGGAAGACGTCGATGATAGGGTAATCACCTCCGGGTAGCACGAATAGTAATCTACCGTGAGGAGGTAGTGACGTCCACCTTCTTCAAACAAATCAGCCCCCCACCCGAAACCAGGGCCTGCTCGGAGTCTGGGAACCCATGAGTGGCTCGTGGCGCTGTACCCGTGTCTGAGCGCAGGTCTCACTGCCGGCCACCAGCTGTTCCAGTTCAGAGTCCAGTGTCGGCCACCACACGGACTCGCGCGCCCGTGCCTTACAACGGCCAATCCCCTGGTGGCCCTCGTGCAGTCTGGTCAGCATGTCACGCAGGAGCACCGCAGGAACCAGGATCCGGTTGTTGTAGAGCAGCAGCCCCTCGCAGACTGTGATGTTGCTCCTCGCGCTCCAGAAGCAACGTAGATGGGCGGAACTTGCGACGCTCGCCGCGGCCACCCACGTTCGCAGAGACAAGCCCGATCCATGCAGGTTCCGTCTTCCTCCTGGTGTTTGCGCAGTTGCTCAAGACCCGGAGCAGTGAGGTCTTGCCATCCCTTCACGATGTTGTTTACGAAGGGCTCTACATCGAGGGAGTCGACACTGGCAACCTGCGTAGTAGCTGGAGCCCGGGAGAGGGTATCGGCGGTGGCAATAAGCTTCCCAGGGACGTAGAGCACCCGGAACTGGAAGCGAAGGAGCCTCATCCGCAGCCGTTGAATTCTTGGAGGGACAAGGTCTAACTCGGCGTTGCCCAGAAGTGTGACTAGAGGCCTGTGATCAGTCTGGACGTCGAACTGGATACCCCGCACGAACTGTTCGAATCGTTCAACTGCCCATGCCACGGCGGGTGCCTCCTTTTCGGTTTGGCTGTATCTGGACTCTGTCGGAGTAAGTGAACGACTTGCAAACGCCACTGCGCGATGCTCTCCGGAAGGTTCCTGCTGCAGGAGAACTGCTCCGAGGCCGTAGGAGCTGGCGTCGGCGGACACAGTCGTGGGGTAGGTAGGGTCGTACCGGGCCATGCAGGCGTTTGAGTTGAGCAGCCCTTTCAGTTTCTGGAACGCTTCCTGCTGTGCAGGACCCCAAACCCATGTACTGGACTTCTGAAGAAGAGCCCGGAGGGGTGCTGTCGTGTCCGACAAGTGGGGAAGAAAACGTCCCAAGTGATTGGCCATCCCCAGCAGTCGTCGCACTCGACTGACATCTGAGGGAGCCTCGAGATCTGCGAGCGCTTTGATCTTCTCCAGATCGGGACTGATGCCTCTGTCGCTGACCATGACGCCCAGGAACTTGACTTCACGCGCCGAAACGACGCACTTGGAGCGGTTGAGCTTGACCCCGGCTGCCTGGAGACGCTGCAAGACGTTGTTCAGGCGACGGTCGTGCTCAGCCTGAGTGCTACCGAAGACCAATATGTCGTCGATCATGTTTACCATACCCTCGAGGCCTCCCAGGACACGGCTCATCTGTCGCTGGAAGTATTCCGGCGCCGAGCAGATGCCGAAGGGGAGGCGTCGGAAGCAGAACCGCCCGAAAGGGGTGATGAACGTAGTCAGTTCTTGGCAGATTTCTGCAAGCTTCACCTGATTGATGCAAGCTCGCTGTTGCGTCGAGTTTGGAGAAGACCTGGGCTTGTCCAAGTTGTCCCAGGGTGTGCTCGACGGAGGGAAGGATGTGTCACTCTCGTAGGACGACCTAGTTGAGGCGGGTCAGGTCGACGCATATTCGGTAGTCGCCAGACTGCTTCGGAACGACGACGATGCCGGAGCACCACTCTGTGGGGCCGTCAACGCGGCGAATGACCCCGTCGGCTTCAAGCTTCGCAAGTTCGCGCCGGACAGCGTCATGGAGTGGAAGGGGAACCCTTCTCGGCGTGCTCAACGAAAAGGGTCGTGTCCCGGGTTGGAGACGGATGACGTACTCCTCTCGCAGTTCGCCCAACCCATCGAAGATGTCTCGGGAAAGAGGCGTGCGCTGCTGTGGCCCTTCAGAGCTTGTGACAGCGTCTGCGAACCGGACGACGCCCAGGGCCTGGATTGCGGGGAAGCCAAGTAATGGCGTGGTCGATACTGGCAGCACGTAGATACGCTGGACTGTTGTCGTTCCCTTCCACGTGAGAGTGGCGTCGAAAGTGCCCAAAACGGTCAACACGTGGTTTCCAGGTCCCGTGAGCTGGCCTTCTGCCGGTTGAAGTTGTGGAGGGAGGCCTGGAAAAGTCTCGGGTACGGCTGTGACTTCGGCGCCGGTGTCGATCTTGAAGTTCACGGAGTGACCGTCGACGGAGACTTGCGTGAACTAGGCTAAGGGGCGCGGCGTCACCGCGTGCAGCTGAAGAGAGTCAAGTCGGTCCCGCTGTTCGCAAACGGCTGCGTAATGACCTTTCCGCTTGCAGCGGCTGCATATGGCGTCCCGTGCCGGGCAGTTCGCACGAGGGTGAGCCGTGCGGCCGCAGTAACGGCAAGGGCTGTCGCCGTCGTGCTTGTCGCGGGCCGCGTGCTTGCCAGTGCGTGTGTTCTTGCTCTGTAGGTTTTTCCCGGAGCGCTGTCGACCCTCGGATTCGTGCTTGCGTGTCTCGGCGACCACGTGGCCGGGAACAGACTCTGCGAAGAGCGTGTCACGTGCACGTCCGGCGTCCTCGTGGACACGAGCCTGGAGGCGGGCTTCGTCCAGCGATAGCTTGGGACTTCGGCAGAGTTTGTCGACGAGTGCCTTGTCGCGAAGCCCCACGACGAAGCGGTCCCTTACGAGTCGGTCTTCAACTGCCGTCGACGCGTAACCGCTTTTCTTGACGAGCGACCGGAGCCCCGTGAAAAACGCGTCCACGCTTTCGCCGGGTTCTTGGATGCGACGATGAAACACGACGCTTGCGTATACCTCGTTGGTAGGATGCACGAAGTGGCGTGTGAAGGCTTCTTTGACGGCGTCGAAGGACAGTAGCGCTTCCGAAGACAGGCCGAATGTCTCGAGTACGCGCCGAGCCTCGTGGGAGCCCATGAGGTAGAGAAGAGTCCGTACCTGGACCTCGTCGGCGGCGTGGTTTAGTCCCGAAGCGAAGCGGAAGTCTTCGAAGACTGTAATCCAT